CGTCACAGTCTGCTTACCACAACTGCACGGACTGACAATATATTGTGTGTTTGTTTTGCTTTCGAACATGTCTACTCTGAATTTTCTGAATTATAGTATCAATATTTTGCATTTATACACAACAAGATTGCCACTTTTCGTAAGTATTAAGAGTAAAATTAAAATGTGTGAAAGTGTAAGGATATGTGTCAATCAAACCCGCCAAAAAAATTAAAGTTTTAATAACTTTAAAATGAAATAAGATTTCAAAGTAATTTTTGTGCGAAATGCTATTAAAATATAAACTTCGTAATATCATAGAGAAAAAAACAGAAAATATTAACTTCAAATCTGTGTCCAAGTACCTTTAAAAATTTTATCATTACAGCTAAAAGTAAAATGGTCATTACAACAAAAATTATTTAAAAAAAAAAACAAATTTGTGGAAAGACAGAACCCCCCCCCCCACACACACACACTTTCAATTCATTTTTGCCAACAGAAATAGGTAACATTATAGTTTTTGAATGAGTAGTATGTTTTATCTCTTTTGTAAAATGTTAAGGAGAATGGTAGTCTTTGGTACTAGAACATTGGAAAAATTAGAAAGGAACCACAAGATAAATGTTATCAATAGTATATTTGAATAAGTACATTTGTATTTTAACTATTTTTATAAAAGTATATTAATTATTTGCATGGAAGATTAGAAGTTAAAGTTAAAATGTCATAACGCCACGAACATGTACGTATCTTTATGATTTACCTTTCCCATTGGTATTTTATTTATATATTCTGAGTTTAAAATCATTATTCCAACCCATATTCGTAGACAAAAATTCAACATAAGCCTTCATTGAATTGGAATTTCAAACGATGCACAGCATTACCAGATATCATGAATTGTGCAAACGTCTCTCAATTAATAATATTGTTACTACATGTATAAGTATTAAATTATTTAGTGAATGAGAGAATATGAAAATAAAGTTCAAAACTACGATGCGTATATGTCCTTAACACTTGTCCCATAAAAAAATAATATTTTGATATTTGACTGATCGGGGATCTGCATCAAGCTCCCTCTCCCCTTGCGAAAGTTCATATATAAATACAACAATCATATTCAAAAATTGTGGTTCGGTGTCTTTGTGGGTGAGATGTTATTTTTATGACATATTGTGTCTAATATGAACACCCTATCATATGTCATTTGTTTAGAAATTATCATTGAAGTTGATTTTTTTTTAAAATAAGGTCAATCGTGAAGGTCAAGGTCAAGGGGTAAGAAATCATAGCATGCTCGGAACACAGGGGCCGGTAACATACTGATTTGATTTTACGTAATCACTAAATATGTACAAAATTTTGTATTGTATACATATAGTGATTACGTAAAATCAAATACAGTATGTTACAGGCCCCTGTGGCTCGGAATTATCTTGTCACAGGGAATGCACATGTCATATATGAAAGCCCTATCTCTTCTCAATATAAGGAACAAGATGTGTTTGTGGAACACTGATGACCCCCAATGGCAACATAACGAAGATTAAAATTTTCTTAAATGCAAATTAAATATATTATTACCCAAAGTAGGGTTTTCCTCATAAGAAATACAATAGTGGAATTCAAAATCCCTAGCACAACCTGTTCAAAAGTTATAGTCGAGGATAAATTTTTGAAAGGTAGGTCAAACTCAAAGGTGAAGGGTCTGAGTTGTTGGTTTCTTTAGAATGGTCTTGTCACAAGTAATACATATGTGAAGGATGAAATCCCTAACCGTTCAAAAGCTATGGCCAAGGTTAAAGTTTTTTTTAAAAGTAGGTCAACTCCAAAGTCAAGGTCAAAGGGTTAAAGTTCTTGGTATCCAATGAAAGGTCTTCTCACAAGGATTACATATGTGCAGTATAAAAGCCCTAGCCCTTACCGTTCAAAAGTTACGATCAAGGTTAAAGTTTTTTCATAATACGTAAATCTCCAAGGTCAAGGTCAAAGTTGTTGGTATCCAATGAATGGTCTTGCCACAAAGAAAACATATGTGAAATGTAAAAGTCCTAGATTCTACCTTTCAAAAGTTGGTGACCAAGGTTAAAGTTTTTTAAAAGTAGTTATGGCAACATAGCGAAGATGTTATATTTCGTGATTGAACTTTCGAGTTTTTATGACGGAAAGACAGAGTGACGAACAGACGGACAGACGAAAGAGATTTAATGCCCCTCGCTTTCGCGAAAGCGGGGGGCAAAAAGTAGGCATCTACTTTCACAGGAACTGTTGCCCTTAGTTTGTATATAAAAAATCGTTGGGTGTTAAATATATAGTACGCTACTTTTGCTCACTATCTTTCCAGGATCTATACCCGTTAATCATTTGGCAATCTCAGAGATAGATAAGCTTGAAATCAATCTTATTCGTTTGTCTGTCTGTCATGACTTTCATATTTCATGTGTATTCCTTGTGACAAGACCTTTTTTGGGTAGCACCAAATTTGACTTTTGTCCTTGACCTTGGAATTTGACCCACTTTTACACAAAACTTCCAAACTTTAATCTTGGCCATAACTTTTGAACAGTGGAAACTAGGGCTTTCATTTTTCACATAATATGTAATCTTGTTGCAAGACCTTTTATTGGATACCAACAATTTTGACCTTTTGACCTTAACTTTGGAGTTTGACCTACTTTTAAATGTTTAACCTTGACCTTTGAACGTTTCGGGCAAGGGCTTTCATACTTCACCTAAATGTAATACTTGTGGCTAGACCTTTCTTAAGAAACTAAAAACTTTGACCCTTTGAGCTTAGATTTTGACCTACCTTTCAAAAACTTATCCTTTACCATAACTTTTGAACAGGTGGTGCTAGGGCTTTCATATTTCAAAATCGTATTTCTTGTGAGATTACCCTACTTTGGGTACCAAATTTATATTTAATTTGCATTTAAGAAAAATTTAATCTTCGCTATTTTGCCATTTGGGGTCATCCGTGTTTCACTTCCTTATAACTTTTGATCGAGAAGAGATAAGTCTTTCATATTTGACATGTGCATTACCTGTGACAAGATTTGACACAATATTTCATAAAAATGACATCCCTCCACAAAGACACTGAAAGCGGGGGAACACAATTCTTCAATTTGCTTGTTTTGATTCGTGTTCGAATGTAGAGGGATTCAGGGCGTGGTCTATAACCCCACCTTCGGGATCTACAGAGTTAAAAATTTCTTTAAGAAGAAAGGAAAAATTACACAGGAAGTTAACACACACACACACACACTCTCTCTTTCTCTCTCTCTCTCTCACACACACACACACACACACACACACACACACACACACACACACACACACACACACACACACACTGTCAGAAACATGGAATAAAAAAATTAGGGTGGTGAGGAAAGTCATGTATCTGTATAAAATAAATTTAAACAAGCAAATTCAAAGAATTGTGCCCCCCTCCCCCCTTTCGGTGTCTTTGTGGGTGAGATGTCATTTTTTATGACACATTGTCTCAAATATGAACGCCCTATCATATGTCATTTAGAAAACATCACCGAAGTTGATTTTTTTTAAATAAGGTCAATCGTGAAGGTCAAGGTGTCACAAATCATACTTGGAAATATATTGTCACAGGTAATGCACATGTCAATACATATGAAAGCCATCTTTGTTCTCAATATAAGGAACAAGAAGTGTTTGTGAAACACTGATGACCAGAATGGCAACATAGCGAAGATTAAACTTTTCTTAAATGCAAATTAAATATATTATTACCCAAAACTCAAGGTCATTCATGATATCCAATGAAAGGCCCTGTCACAAGGATTAAATATTTGAAACATGAAAGCCTTAACCCTAACCCTTTGAAAGTTATGGTCAGGGTTTGTTTTTTTTCAAAGTAGGGTTAAACTCCAAGGTCAAAGGGCCAAAGTTCATGGTATCTAATGAAAAGGTCTTTGCACAAGGATTACATATTTGAAGTATGAAAGCCCCAGGCCTTACCATTTCAAAGTTATGGTCAAGGTATGTTTTTTAAAATGGTTCAAATTCCAAGGTTAGGGTAAAAAGTTTTTAAAAGTAGTTAAACTCCATGGTCAAGGTCAAAGTTCTTGGTATCCAATGAAAGGTCTTCTCACAAGGATTACATATGTGAAGTACGAAAGCCCTGGCCCTTAAAGTTCAAAAGTTATGGTCAAGGCTAAAGTTTTTTTCATAAGTACGTAAATCTCCAAGGTCAAAAGGTCAAAGTTCTTTGTATCCAATGAAAGGTCTTTTCACATTGATTACAAATGTGAAGTATGAAAGCCTTATCTCTTACCGTTCAAAAGTTGTGGCCAAGGTTAAAGTTTTTTGCACAGGTACAGAAATCTCAAAAGTCAAGGTCAGTGGGTCAAGGTTATTGGTATCTTATGAAAGGTCTTGCCACAAAGAATACATATGTGAAATATGAAAGTCTTATTATCTACAATTCAAAAGTTATGGCCAAAGTAATAGTTCGGATTTTTTGTGTAAAAGTTGGTCAAACTCCAAGGTCAAGGTCAAAAGGTCAAATTTGGTGGTGCCCAAAGAAAGGTCTTGTCACAAAATTAAGGAATATACATGTGAAATATGAAAGTCATAGCTCCAAGTTTTGTGATGTACTGACAGACTGACGGACATCGAAGAACAGACGAATGAGATTTTTAATGTCTTCTCGCTTTCGCAAAAGCGGGGGACAAAAATTGATCACAACCCCTCGATTTACGTTTTTCAAGCTGGAGCAAAGGCTTTTCTTTTCCGAAAAGATTTGGATATAGATCCCCCCCCCCACACACATCCCCCCTCGAAAAAAAAATCCTGGATCCTTGCATGTAATTCATACCGTGATATTGATTTTTTATTGTTATATGATGTAATATAATAATCTGATACGATTATTATAGGTTTTACGTCCGAGAAGCAAATAACAAGTTATGTGATGATTTTCCCGGATATATGAATTCTGCCTTATCTGGCTTATATATTATACACTCTCTTGAAAACGAGGTTGACCCCGGGGTTACAAATATGGTTTCTTCGGTACGTGGAAAAGCTTGAAGATTTGACAGTCAAGTGAATATCTTTTTATTTCTTTGAAACTTTTGATATTTTTTGTACTATTTTGGCTATGGCTTCATGTTCTTGCCTAGATAAACATGTGGATGTTCTTGGCACCAACTAAATGTGAAAATATTAACGGTTTTCTATATTTTACAGGTTTTATGAAGAAGTTGACACGGAGGGAAGCACTAGCACTATACAGGGTTTGTTAATAGAAATTATTTTACCTCTGCTAAATTTTCCTTAAATGTGAATAATTCCCAAAAAACATTGTGAATGGTCTTATCCCTGTGCGTTAGTCAAATGAGCTAATCCCTGCTTCGGGAGCTAATTCGTGGTTATCCACAATCCTCAAGATTTTACTTTTGTATTGGTATGATATGTTAACGGACTAATCCCTGTGTGTTAGTCAGGCACGTGGATTAATTCCCATCAGTTATCTGTAATCTAGTTATTTTTTTTAAAACTTTCATATCACATATTGGTATAAAAGTGAACAGTGCCAAGCTCCGCTTGTAACTGCGAGCTCTTAACGAGGCCCGATCTAGTTGAAAATTACGAAAACGGAATGATAAAAAATTTTAATATTTGGAAATATTTTTGAATGTATTATGCTAAGAAAAATTAGAATGAAATTTTATTACCTTGCCTTTATTGTAGTCAAATGGGGGCACTGTCAAGATATGGACCATTTTTTGTGTTTTTATACACAGTAATATAGTAAAACCCTCCAATAAACAAAGAAATTGAAAATTTAAAAAAAAATACATGATGAAAATTTTTGTTCTTCACTTACCTTTGGTCCTGTTATCCTTAGTGAAATGAATCTCACTGCAAACTAAGTTCTTGCGGTAACAAGAAGTTCTAAGGGGAAAGAATGAACTCACCTTGATGTAATGGATAATAGCAGATAAAAAGTAGATTAAACATTTTTGATTGAAATTAGCACTCTTAGTCTTCGTTTTGGCAATGCAGTGTGCATACAACATCATGTGACATCAGAGTCCTTAGATGTAACAAATGTCATATGCTATGACAAGCCTGATCTAAATTCAAATTATATACGTGTGTGTGTTCGCCCAAATGTTTGCCCCATCAACATATTAAAACAGATAATAAGTGTGTCATTGAAGGAGTTAGCAAGATTCCAGTTCCCCTCAACCAGGCCTGGGGGCCATAAAACTTAGACGAGCTCACTTTTGATCTCAGTCTCACTTTTCCACAATTAATTCCTTTGGAAAAAGTAGACTGAGCTCAAAAGTGAGCTGGTCTAAGTTTTATGGCCTCAGGCCAGGACTGTTTTCTTCGGTCAGCCTCAAAAATTGTTCTGGCCTTAGGGAACTGGAATCTTGCTTATTCTCTCAGTGAAATACTTTAACCACGTTAACCCTTTCATATGTTTAGGTAGTATATATTCTAAATAATTTAAGCTTTAACATGTTTAAGGAAAGCAATAGGACAGTACTAAATACATGTCAGATGAAACCATTATCTAAACTCAACATGCCCAGTCCAAAGAGTATTCTTCCTATGTAGCTTTTAATAGCTACCTAGATATTTAAACCTACCTGAAATAGCTACTTCTAGCTTCTTTAACATGTCTTAGAGTATAGAGAATTAATAAATATTAAGGTGCATCTCTGAAACAGGTCAAACTAGTTGTAAATTGTGTTCTGTACTTTCACAAAAAAATTACAGAGTGTTACTTTTTAAAACTTTACAAGGATGGAAAAGGGCCAGAAAATGCATGGAAAAATCATTCCAAAAAACCTTTGTCTAAGAATGCATGAGGAGAAATTTTAAGCATAAAGACTTATTTATCTATATGTGTTCTTGCAATTTAGCAAAGATGACTTGATTTGATCCAGGCTTCAGCTTGATTTTGAAGATCATAAAAGGATTTGCAATAATATTTTTCAGATTAATCTTAACAACGTTTTTTGACTTGTATGTGAATTTATTACCGTATATTAACGAAAAAACTCCATGTAAAGGGAAAGATTAACACATAATTTGTTCCTCAAAATATTTTTCGTACTTCAAAATTGCTATATGTACATTCAGAACTCTCTAAATTGTTCATAGCTACACATATAAGCAAGAATTATCCAGTCCAGTTTATTTTACTGCATGATACATTGCCAAAACATAGAAAAATATTATTTTCTACTATTTAATCATGTATGTTAGACAAAGTCATTTTACCAGAACTTCTCTAGCTTGATAAAGCTATTAAAGGTGTTTACTTTGAGCTTTTTAATGAATTTTACATCATAGTTCTTCATGTTTAAAAAAGAGTCCCTAGAAGTTTTAGGCCTGAAGAATAAAGGTCAAGGTTTTAAAATGTTTAAAACATTAACGTTATATAAAGTATTGCCTCAGGTTTCTAGATCTTTTCCTTTTATGCAAAGTGCCAGTGTGGCGCAGTTTTTAGAGCATCTGCTTTAGAGTCGCGAAGGAAGGAGTTGATTCTTACATCGCAGGTTCAAATCCCACTGTGGGACGTGGAGACCGTTCCTTAGGATGAGACAGTATAAACTGAGGTTCTGTGTCACAGTAGGTGCTGGCACGATAAAGATCACTCCCTGTTCAATGGCCCTGAGTACCAAGTATAGGTCAAAATTTCCAGCTCTCCATCGGCGAGTGATGACGTTTACATATGAGTGAAAAATTCTGGAGAGGGACGTTAAACAACAAAGTACATTATACTTATCTCAGTCTGCCTTATTATATTTGATTTTTTTTTTGTCCACAAAGAAGCCACCAAAGCCTTATGAAAAAAGAAAAGCTTGAAGACTTACCTAAAAAGATTCAAATAAATCATTTACTCATTATCAGAGCAATTATGTTCAGTTCACTGTTTGTAAAATTATGCCTTGAAAAAAATTCTGATATCTTTGATTAACTCCTAATAAGAGTTGTACAGTGTTTGCTTGCTTTAATTGATTTAATGATTGGGTAAACAGGCTGTTGTTTAACAGATATTCATGGTGAATTGATCCAACATCCCAAAGGAGTATTGGATCATTTCATTTTGGTTGTGTGGGACAGATCGCTCAGAAACATGGCCTGCAGGGGACATGTTCCATGAACAGAAATCTGTAGCTCCTATCTGTTTCTTCTACTATTATAGATAAAACACCTGTCAGCATACTTACCTGTAACAGTCAAGTATGACAGAAAAAATCTATACATGTGTACCTGGAAAAAATTGCTTGTATTTAAGTTAACTTAAACTTTTCAAAAAAGTACACAATAAAATGAACAAACCCATGAAAAATGCATCTAGCTAGAAAGAAAGTACGTTTTTGATTTTTATTGTTTAGTTTTTCTATAACAGTACAACAGCCCTCTTTAGTAACATTTAGTAACATAACTATTTTTGTTACAGTGAAGTAAACATTGCTCTCTTTACTAACATCATTCTGTGTACTTTTCGTTACAGTGAAGTAAACATCGTTCTCTTTACTAACGTTATTCTGTGTACTTTTCGTTACAGTGAAGTAAACATTGCTCTCTTTACTAACATCATTCTGTGTACTTTTCGTTACAGTGAAGTAAACATTGCTCTCTTTACTAACGTCATTCTGTGTACTTTTCGTTACAGTGAAGTAAACATTGCTCTCTTTACTAACATCATTCTGTGTACTTTTCGTTACAGTGAAGTAAACATTGCTCTCTTTACTAACATCATTCTGTGTACTTTTCGTTACAGTGAAGTAAACATTGCTCTCTTTACTAACATCATTCCGTGTACTTTTTGTTACAGTGAAGTAAACATCGTTCTCTTTACTAACGTTATTCTGTGTACTTTTTGTTACAGTGAAGTAAACATTGCTCTCTTTACTAACATTTTTCTGTGTACTTTTCGTTACAGTGAAGTAAACATCATTCTCTTTACTAACGTTATTCTGTGTACTTTTTGTTACAGTGAAGTAAACATTGCTCTCTTTACTAACGTTATTCTGTGTACTTTTTGTTACAGTGAAGTAAACATCATTCTCTTTACTAATGTTATTCTGTGTACTTTTTGTTACAGTGAAGTAAACATCGGCTGAGATGAGGAGGAACACCGTTACACTACTGAAATATCTGATCGTGGGGTGTGTCATAGTTCTAGGGGGGCCCCTCATTTTGAGGAAACTCTTTGGTTCAGATTCACCTCCAGATCTCTATGTAGATGCTCGTAATGTAATGCCAAAAGCTCCGGAAAACGGAAAGGTAAGAAAATTATATTGGTATAAAGTTGATTGTTTAATATGAATTTGTAGTTTTTACCTCTTGGAAAGCTTGGGTTTTTGAAATTCTTGCAGTAAAGTTATAAATTTAACTTACCTGGTAACAATTGTTTATAATAACAGAAACCTCATGCAGATGAACCACTGCAAAAAATTGATTGGCATGACTATAAGAAAATCGCAGAGGAGGAGCAGAGACAAGGTATACTGCTGAAATTGATTCTCTTACTGATATCATGAAAATGTGTACTCTATTAATAAGGGGTTATACATTTATATACTTTATATAATATCTGTAGTAGTAGTAGTAATATGTGATCAATTTATACATCTCTATTTGGTGTACAATGTGTTATTGGTATTTGGAAAGATTATACATGTAGCTTGATTTTGAAAATTATTAATGATAATATCATATTTTTGTGACTGTATAAGAATTCCTAATTGTGGTGGACTATGTTTTATCTTACAAGGACCTGGTGAGCAAGGGCAGGCAGTGATTCTCTCCCCTGAGGACGAGAAGAAGAAGGGGGATCTGTACAAAGTGAATGGTTTTAATGCCTACGCTAGTGATAAAATCTCCCTCCATAGGTCTCTCAAAGATATTCGTCATTCAGAGTAAGTCAAATCAACAGATATTTCAGTAGGTTTACATGCATTTTATATTACTGATCAATCTTCAAGCTGTTTCTGTTGATGGAACATTTCCTTCTGTGTATTGTAAGTTGTGTACATTCTTATTTAATAATGGTAATTTGATTTAGAAAAAAATACAAATTAAAAAAAAAAAGTAATTTGATTCTAAAAATCAATATAAAACAAATAAGAACAAGCTAATTCAGAGAATTTGTGTCCCCCGCTTAAGGAAAAAGTAAAATATGCACAGTTCTGGTGGAGGGGGGGGGGGAGAGTTGGATTCCCCTCACTGAATTTGTAGAATTATAAAATGTATACATGCATGTATACTGAAGCATATAAAATATACAATTATGGATATAAAGATTTTAAAATTGCTTATTCTTTATTGTGTGTATAGAAGATTCTTTTTATATGGAATATTTATCACACTGTAATGATGATTTTATGAGTTTGTACAAGCCAGACCTCATAAATTTTTCATTTCGCTTGATGAATACTATCATTTAGTAAAAAAAAAAAGTGGTCCATCCAGGACTTGAACTCGGGACCTCTCACATGGGAAGCGAGAAACATACTACTAGACCACGGAATCACTTTACATGGAGTCAAGTATATGCAGAAGTGAAGTCACATACATGTATATATTCATGTTCGGTATTGTCAAAATTTTACACAATCCATGGTGATTGATTTATTTAGCCTTTATTAAACAGTTCTAATAGATGTAATGAGAACATAAAGTCCGCCGAGAACCTGTTTTATACGCAATAACTCTCCTCATGCTCCTGTGCTAAAAATAGCAACATGTAATACTATAAATACTAATAAAACAAACGGGGCAGGGCACTTTGAGAGGGGTGAGAAAGGTCCTAGGGAGTTTTGGTATAAAATTACATTGCATAAGCTCAAAATCTTCTTGAAATATTGCCCGGAAGTGATAGTGTTACACACAGACAGAATGTATAAATTTACGACCTTGAACTTTGACCTTTTGACCTCAAGATCAATAGGGGTCTTCATTAGGCCACAGGGAGTTGTTATGTAAAATTTCATGGCAATAGCTCAAATGGTTCTAGAGATATCGTGTGGAAAAGAAAGTGTTATAACAGACAGAATTTGCTTATTTATGACCTTGACCTTTGACCTTTTGATTTCAAAATCAATAGGGTTCTTCTTTAGTCCATAGAGAGTTGCTATGCTAAATTTCATTGCAAAAGCTCAAAGGGTTCTTGAGATATCGTGTGGAAATGAAAGCGTTACAGACAGACAGAAAGATGGACGGACGGACGGACAAACCCAAATTAATATCCCCCACTTTTCAAGCAGGGGACAAAAAGTTTAGCTGTATAATAAGAGGGTTTCTGATTGAAGATGATGTTTTTTTAGCTGTAAGAAGAAGAAGTACTTGAACCATTTGATGAATGCTAGCGTGATTGTTCCGTTTCACAACGAGCACTGGAGCACGCTACTGAGAACGGCATGGAGTGTACTCAATCGTTCTCCGAAGCATCTCATCCACGAAGTTATACTGGTGGATGATTACAGCAGCAAAGGTCAGGAAAAAAACACACTGGAGAAGATAATGCTCTAAAATGATTGCAATAAGAAATATGTCATAATTTCAAGAAACAGTTGTCTATTTTGCAATAGTGTATTTGCATTACGCAACAGGCATATTTATGGTGGAAATAAAATAATAAGGTAATTCAAATGCGTCATAAGAATTGACTTCTTTATTAATTTCTCCCTTTTTACATGACAGTTGGATGATTGGTTTTTGAAGTCTTTTCAGTAACTGTATACTCTCTCTAACCAGTATTTTATCTAGTTTATGCACAATTCCTATGTACATTTGGGAAGAGGTCTTTCTACTCCTCACAAGCGACAAGTTTCATATATAAGTAATTTATTCTTTAACATTGTTTAGACAAACAAATTATTCCTTCAGTGATTTTTAAGTGTAGTCCAAGAACACATTCATGTTGTCAGAGTTTATTTATTTTTTTTTTTAAATGAAATTTCTTAAAACACAACAAGTTTCAGTATTTTCTCTTTTTTGAAACTTTCTCAAATGTTAAGATTTTACGATACAGTCTTGTATCTAGTCCAGTTTAAAGAAAACTTAATCAACTCAAGTAATATGACATTCTTTATTTCTGATATGTATTTTGAGAAACTTGTGATGAAAGCTCTCTCTTGTTTGTTTATCTACAGAGCACTGTAAGCAGCCTCTTGATGACTATGTGAAGGAACACTTTACCAATGTCAAGGTTGTGAGGGCTAAGAAGAGGGAGGGGCTGATCAGGACCAGACTTCTGGGGGCTAAGGCGGCCACTGGACAAGTTCTTATCTTCCTTGACTCTCACTGTGAGGCCAACATCAACTGGTTACCTCCCTTACTGGGTTAGCTCTATTTATAGAGACATAGCAGTAGTATTTTTTGTGTGTACTGTTGGTGTCCTCTTCTCTATAAAATTTGATATAGGCTCAATAAGTTAATAAAACCAGATGTATGTTATACTTAATGATCTGATTACAAAAAGGATATGCATGTTTTAGGTTTCATTTCTTTAGCATTTTCTGAATGCAGCTTATTATGTGTATCAAAGTATTAAATTCCTGTTCATTTTACATAATGCTAAGTATAGATGCATGTCAAAGTTATAATCTGTAGATCTGGTTTTATGTTTATACTTACTTAATTTGTGTTGTATTGAAACAGAGCCAATAGCAGAGGACTACAAAACAGTTGTCTGCCCTTTCATTGATGTCATTGATTTTGAGAACTTTGCGTATCGAGCCCAAGATGAGGGGGCTAGGGGAGCGTTTGACTGGGAATTTTTCTACAAGCGTTTACCACTTCTGGAGGAAGACTTAAAACATCCCGCTGAACCATTCAAGTAAATGTAATCTGATGAACTAGTAAAGGCACAGTACAAAGGCTCAAAATTATTATGCATCAATTTTTTTAACATTTACCGGTAATTTAATTATTCATATTTTGATCCTGTTTTAGTTTATACATATTTTTATGAAAAAAGAGGTGAAAATATGACATTGCATAAATTAATTGATCACTAAGAAAAATTTTCATACAAGATATGTTATCTTCTAATTTCAGGAGCCCAGTGATGGCAGGAGGGCTGTTTGCCATCAGTGCCAAGTGGTTCTGGGAGATGGGAGGATATGACCCGGGGCTGGACATCTGGGGAGGTGAACAGTATGAACTCTCCTTTAAGGTAACACATCTGACTCAAAGATTTGAGATTATTATAATAATTAATTTATAAAGCTGAAGTTTAGCATCTGGTAAACAAATTTTTCAAATCATTCAGATAATGTTAAAATACGTTCAGTGGCCCAGCTACACTTTGAAATCAAGATATTTCTTTATTATTTTCAACCCTATGATATGTTAAAGTGTTTGACAGTCTTGTTGAGTATGAAATACATGTACCAAGATTTAATAGCATATGAAAACATTACTCTCTAGATATTAAGATTTACATCTATTCATTTTAAAATGTCTCCTGCTTTATAACCTACAATAACTTTACAGATATGGCAGTGCGGTGGTATGATGGTGGATGCCCCTTGTTCAAGAATTGGACATATTTATAGAAAGTTTGCCCCATTTCCTAATCCAGGGGTAGGGGACTTTGTAGGCAGGGTAAGCTTATTTTATTTATTTAATTATATGGTTTGTCATCTAGTGAAAACTTGTAGTTAATTCTGTCAGAAATGTTCGAATTAATTTAAGAGACTTTGTTTCAGAATATTTCTTGTGGTAAACCAGGTATATTTTTGATTTGTTCACAGAATTCTAAGCAGGTCCCTGAAAGTAGACTTTACCAGATATGTTTATAATTGTATACTGTAACAGAATTATAAACAGGTGGCTGAGGTGTGAGCTAAACCAGATATACATATATTTGTAATTTGTACACAGAATTATAAGCGTGTGGCTGAAGTGTGGATGGATGAGTACGCGGAGTACCTATATAAGAGGCGGCCCCACTACAGGAATATTGATGCCGGAGACATGGCCCCACAGAAGGCCATCAGGGAGAAGCTTCACTGTAAACCATTCAAGTGGTTCATGGAGGAGGTTGCTTTTGATCTGCCCAAGTATTATCCCCCTGTGGAGCCCCCTCCATTTGCTAGTGGGGAGGTAAGTAGAAAACAAATATTTTTCATTTATAAATACCCTAATTATAACTTAGCAACATTATTTTATACTGAAAATATTCTGTATAAATGTTTCGCTTGATTTGGAGTTTATTTGTTTGGAAAAGTTGCTTTGAAAATTTATTTTCATTGTTAATGACTCTCTGACAGATGGATGAATTTATAGAATGGTACGTATGAACATCATTATTTTAGTGTGTAGTGGCATTCTGTATATACCTTTTATTTTTGATTTGACAGATTCGCAGTAGAGCAGCAGATCTGTGTTTGGATACAAGGTACAAGGGAGCTAATGAGAGATTCGACCTTCAGCCGTGTGTTAAAGATGGAAAAGGTGGAGGGGAACAGGTCAGTGTCTATAGAAATCAAATATTTTAGCACTTGTTAATTTCTTTAATGAATAGAGCTTTAAAGCATCTAGAAACCCTTTTTTGAAATATATTTTTTTGTGTTTTAGTTAACTAACAATATAACAATTAATTGCTTAGTATTCTTATTACTGTCAAATCTCATTTCTGTGTAAGCAGGTTTTCTTGGTATGTTATAGGCATTTGTTTTTTTTGTTTTTTTTATCCCAAAAGACTGCTTTACCTGAAATCAAATAATTCATACTTACCATTATTGTACATTCTGCTTAAAATGGAATACGATCCTGTCCCTTTGATGTTTAAGCACCTGTTATACTTATTTATCATTTATTGTGAGATAACTTTGGAAAACTAAGAATCATTGAAATGGCAACACTTTAATGAGAATATAAAGCAGAAATTAATTTTGTCAAACCAGTACTAATGGGATAGTTTTTTTTCAGCAATTTGAGTTTACTTGGCACAAAGACATTCGTCCAGGCAAAAGAACAGTGTGTTTTGATGTGTCTCAGTCCATAAAAAAAGCCCCTGTTATCTTGTTTAGTTGCCATGGCATGGGTGGCAACCAAAGGTTTAAATATAATATGGTAAGTACTTGGTCCATAAAGGTGTCATTTGATGTCATGTTAAATCAAAGTTAGAATTTGAAATTGAAGTCAATTCCGAATATCAAAGCTTATTTTTTAAATATGTTATGTACATGTATATAGAATTTGAAGTTTGTTATCTTTTTTTGTAGGATACAGAACAAATTTTCCATGTGATAAGTAATCAGTGTTTAGACTGTGATACAGGGAGTCATGAAATATTTATGAATCCTTGTGACAAAAGTTCTGACACTCAGAAATGGAAAGTAGAACACATACACGAAGAGGAAGTTAGAAAGGAATGGAAGGCCAAGTAGCCGGAGTGTTATGATTAAGTCTTGTTAATTATTTATTGTCTTACGATTTGGTCCGTAGGACCATTGATACGCAAGATCTGCCAGCAAAATACATGTACTTAAATGTTAGAGGACTTATGTCTTAGAATTATGGGTGTTATATATTTTACGATGTGCTATATTGTTCATAAGCTTCGGTGATATCCATGACATGAAGTCATAACTATGCAAGCAATAGAATTTTCTTTGTTTATTTCCAAGTCGTACATTTCTTTGTTATGTTTTCATGTTATTTATTTCCTTATTTATAAAAAAAAAATTGACTTACGAGGTGAAAGGTCAGTAGACATAATTCTGTAGATTTCTACATGAGGTATTCATAGATTATCTTCGATCCCATTGTAAAAATTATTTTCAGAAGTGTATACCATAAAACCCTCTTTAAAAAGAACAGAACATGCTTTCTTTTCTATTTAATTATGACATGTTTTATAAAAATATGCAGGTATATTCAGTCATCCATATGAATCAGTATTATATTTGTGAACACAATTTTAAGAAACATTCAATCCACACCTTTCATTGTGTTATTATGTTGTTACGTGTACTATCTATTTATGTGTTTCTTTATTGTTACAGAGCAGTTTCATCTTTATATACATAGTATAATATCTGTTTGATACACTAAATGTGTGTATATGAGTGTATAGACATTCCATTTTATTAGGGAGGAAGAAATGGCAATACATTGTTGAAATTTTTTTTATAATATGAGTTATTTTGTATTCTTTAATTTGTTTTGTGCTTTAAAATATAATGGGTGCTAACTTTATGCCATGGTGGGGTATATTGTTAGATTTAGTTACAAAAATCTGTATTTTTCTTTCCCCTAATTAGATTTAAGTAAAATACTGTAGAGAGAGAATTCAGTTATTATTTACAGTTATTGTACGCATAGGTGCTTAGAAGTGTGTATTTGCCAGTGTTGTGTAATTTTGTTGATTTTATAGCATTCTGATCAGGTTATTGGTGAACCATCTGATAATATTCCATAAAATTCACCTTTTGTTACACTTGAGAAGTCTCACATCATGGAAGAGATTGTTTTGTAAACTTATTTCAGAGTCAAGGAATATACTGGAATATACAGACACATACTGGGGGGGGGGGGGAGCTTTATTATCCTTCAGTATTATTTTTAAAAAAAATTTAAAAACCAAACTTTTATAATACATCTTCAAAATTTTATAAAAACTGAATGAAATCTTTCATTAGTTGGTCTAATTTATTTCTTTTATTTTAAAAGCAGCATTACTTTTGATATAGCATGTCAGAGCCCCAGTCAAGGGCTGCTACTTTTGTCTGTATATATTTTTTCACATAGTTTCTTATGATTGCAGAAGATATTTGAATTATAATACATGTAAAACAAGAAATCCATACTATAAATGGATACTGAGGCAGGCCCTTATTTGTGTTTTACACCCTTCACTCCTCTTTCAGCAGTTCTTGCCTTCAAATGTCAATCAATATGTATGCACTATTGTATATTACTTAATTTTATTCTTTTTATGCGTTTCTATTTATGTACTTTTTTGTGACTCTGGTATTGTGATTTTTTAAAGTCAGAAACACCCTCACACTAAACATTTAGATACATAATTATTTCAAATGTATATTTCACATTCTCAGTGTTGGTTTTGTAATTTGAATAATTTTGTAAAGCTATTTTTTCAGAGCCCTGAACCTCCTATGAGTGATAATCTACAACTTTAAACTTGTGATATTGGGTTTTTTAATGCATCCCAGGGGTGTGCAATTAGCATCGCCCGACGCCCAGGGCTACCATTTTCTGGGGTCGGGCTAGTGATTTTCTGCAAGGAGGTAGCCCGTCGGGCTAGTAAAAATTTTAACTACACACGCAATACATGAAAAGCACAACCAGTTTTTTGCAATTTAATTCCCAACCAGTGAATATTTTCCAGACAACATGCTCCAACTGTCAGTAAATCTCAATAATCTTATCTGTTTTGCAGTATTACATGACTTGTTTACTTCCAAAAACGATCGTTTTTTTTTTCTTAATCCGAATTTCCTCTATTCCTTCGTTTTCCTTCGTTTATGGTAAATACATGCAGATATCTCATTAAAATATTTACGATCACTCAATCAACTGAAAAATAAGTGTTTTGTGACACACATAAAATATATTTCTAGTGTATTTAATGATTAAACATGAAAACAAAATGAATTTAATTTCATTCTAAATGAGCTGCTGCTAGTGCAATGTTCAGAAAAAGGGAGGATAATTTATTTAAATTCATTTTAATTTTCTTTCATGATAATTTAAACATGATTTTAAAATTTTATAGTGAGAATTATACATTAATTTTGAAAAGAATTAACTCAGTACCCTGACTTCTTCAACAGTTAATTTCATTTTATTTAAATTTTTGCCCCTATATTTGGGCTAGTAACTTTTTACTTGGGGCTAGTAACTTTATAGCTGCCACTAGCCCGTGGGCTAGTAATAAATTTTTTCTAATTGCACACCCCTGCATCCTTGTGGAAGGTTTTTTTTTGGGGGGGGATGGGTTATTTCTCATGGCTTTATGTTCATTCTTTTTTGTATCATGGTTCTGACTTATAATTGAGAATCATTTTGAAGTTGTTTCTTTTTGTTTTTTCTATAAGAGGATGTGTCATTGCACTAAACCACGGCCATTGGTACAAGGTCAAGGTCACTGGCTTCTGGAGCAAAAATTCTTGAGATTTTTAACTTTGTTATGGAAGCACAGTAGATAAATGATCTGGACATAACTTTAATATTGCCCAGAGAGTAGGCCATGGTCTTGAGTCAATACCATCAGGACGATATCACTGGATTAGGAAGTGTCAGGTTTTGTTCAAACCATAGCAGTATACATTCAATACACGAGTTCAAGTGTTAACCAGCAGTTAGTCATGGCTGTAAGATTAATATTTGACAACAACTTTGGCAGATGACAGCTGAATCATTTCCGTAATAATTGGATATCTAAAGAGTCTAGCAAGGGGCTTTAGTGCTGTCAGGACAGTTCTAATATACATATGTTCAGATGTAACTATTCCTGAGTGTCACATTTGGTTTTTTAATCTATGTTAAAATACTGATACATGCACATTCCATGCCTCATTTTCTTTATTTCTTTTCAAGTAGAAAGTGTTTCTACACATTGGAATTTACAATTGTTCAATGTTTAGAGAATTTTGAAATCTTTGCAGACTGTTGGTATATTGTGGTGCATGCAAATGGATATTGTTTATTAGTTTGTTCTACAATCTATAAATATTGTATCTGTTTCAATTTCAGTTTTATTGATATACATGTATGAGGAGTTGTGCCATCATCCCCTATTTACTTAACAGTGTTCACCCTTTCCAAAGGTTTACGAGAACTCTTCTGATTTAAGTGTGACCAGTATCCATCTAATTGTATATCTGTCTGTTTTGAATGCCTTAAGTTATCTTTAAACTTTTTACACTTTCATTCCCATCTCCAAAAATACTATATATATTGTAAATTAATAGGCACAAAGCATTAATTATGTGCAAGTGAGGGTCCTCCAGTCTCATCTAAGAAAGTAGGATGGGGTTATGAAAGTTCTTTTTTGAAGGAGATATTGGGGGGGGGGGGGGGTATTCAAGATCTCTTGAAGAAAATAGTTTTAAAAAAGAGAGACGAAATGTAGAAAGTGTACAATTACAGGTCAAAGTTTACAGGAATATGGATATTTTGATGGTCTCACATAGTACAGATTTTTTTTTAGGTACATGTATTATATACTGAAAGGAAAAAGAAACGCACAAGAACATGATATGGGAAAATTTTCTGACTATGTGACCGACAATTGTGAAAATTGGTCAGATGTTTATTTTGGTTACTTTGCACTAAAATCACTAGTCAAAAATACTCAACCATGAAATGTATGGCGTCACGTAGGGGAAATGATAAAAAGTCAAAAACACGTGCATGTTAATGATGATAATTTTGTAATAAAATTTTGTAGTACCATACTATGCATTAGAATTATAAACATCGTTTTTGCATATTTGCAGTCAGTATAAATTTCTTGCAATCGTGGTATGGCTGACAAATCTACTGTGGGTTTAGTAATTGAATTCAATATTGCATAAGTGAATAAAAAGGCAAAAACATAATGATGTACAGATTGCTTTCAACTTTTCAACCAAATAAAAGTGTTTTTTGGTTGTCAGAGAGTGAACTTAAAATGTTTCCAACCAACCATGACAGTGACGTTGGCGCGTACCAACATCACAACAAGATAGGGCTTTTCATCACGCCACCTCGGTTATTGTCAAGGCATTATCACCGAAACTGATATTTATACAGCAGACAAACATACTCACTTTTTTCACCCTAAACTGACAGAAACTCTCCGCTCTAATTTGGGCCGCGAGCATGGCTAGCTTACGTCGATTTTACTCTCAAACGCGCACGTTCACGTTGTTTGCGTAATGTTTTCTATGTTTACACTAGAAAAATGTAGCTAATATTTGTCGATACTTTTTTACAAACATTCACAAGTACCAAACCTGCTGGGTTCTGTAACTATATTCTATCCTAAATCGAAAATTTGCGGGATTCGATTGAGCGGGGGGATTTGTTAACTTTGGAATAATACAGCTAATCTCAGCCATTTAGACTACCGTCGGAAGGGTTGACTGACAATGCTTTGAAAAAATAAATGCTCTGGTGAACACAATGCACAGAAAAATCAAGTTTGTTACTGATGCGAAAGGGAGATTGTAAGAATTTTTAGTTTAATTTTTGGGGGGTGTCACCATATTGATATCAATATCTCAGGAACTATCAATCAAAATCGCAAAATATTTTGGTAACTTGTTGATTAAAGATGAATAAAAATGTATAATAAAAATGCTGAAAAACATATATGAAATAATTGTTTTAATTTAACTCAAAAGTTTAATATGCGTTTCTTAATCCTTTCAGTATAAATTGGGTCAGAATGGAGCAATGAAAGAGTCTCAATTTTACTGGATTATTAACAGTGGATTCTGTCTAGTTACAATAAATAGATATTTTAAAAACAGGTCTCTCTTTATTCATTTTTTAAACAGAGAAAGTAATTTGACTGAGGTAAGCCAAATAAGTCATTATGTTGAAGTATTATGTCTTGTTAGTGTCACAACATGTCACTGTATTTGTTGTATATGTAGGTACAGATGCTTTATTTTTTAAGTACAATGATTTGTAGGAGATGTTTACAGTATACATGTAGTTTTTATGTGTATTGATAGCTTAGTATATGAGAAAAAGCAGATGTAAAGGATGTGCATAAATGTGCATGCCTGGAATTAGATTGTGATGAATATTTGTGGACTATTTGTAACATTTCAAAAATGTATATGTTCCAAACAGAAAATGCATATCATTAATGGTAATATATATTTATGATGAGATATATATGCATAAAATTATATAACTATGATGTAAAGAAATCAACTTTTTATTGTCTTATGTGACTATATGATGTTTTATTAGATACAATAGTGGGGTGTCTATTTTTGCAAGGGTTAGTTATTGTAGATATAACTACTGTGTATTTGTTGTAATGAAAAATATTTAAACACTTTCCACATTGTCATTGGTAATTTATAATCATTGCTAAAATGTGTGATATCATACATGTAATTGGTCTTCTGTTGAAATACAGTAATAAGTCTGTGACCTATGGAGGCAGGCCTATTTGTGAATATGCTAATTAGCTTGTGACCTAAGGAGGTAGGGCTATTTGGGAATATGCTAATTTTAAATTTGCCTGTTGCCTTTGGTTATGGAGCTGTTTATGAATATGCTAGTTAGTCTGTGATGTACAGAAATTGAAATACACTATTGTAAGAACATGTTCATTCCCAGATAAAAATGTTGGTTAAAGGAGGTGAGAGGACGAGGCATTTAAAATGCCTATAGCTTTAAATGTATAAAATGCAAATTGTGGATATTTTATGTAAAGTTTCCTCTAATGTTAAAGGAAATATCCCCAGTATATTTTTCACTTTCGTATTTTTCACCCAATAGGCACTTTCCTTGCCTTATTCTCTCATCTTCTTTGTAAACTGTTTTTTTTAAAGAAGAAATGGGCTTGATTTTGAATTTGAACAAGCAAAATAATGCAATATGTTTGCATACATGTATTTGCAGTCTATGGTTATTATGATAAAGCATATATAATGCTATAGAACACAAAGGAATCACACACATGAAGTTATTGGAAATGCAGCTGAGAAAAGGCAATTTTACATGATATAATGGTCTCCCGATAACGTATATACTTCTTTGAAAACTTTACTTCAATAAAAGTATTATTTCAATTATACCTTGTGTACTTGTGGTTTGGAGGAATTCTTGGACACATTTACAGTGAAACCTATCTAATCCATCATGCACTGGGAGACAAATTTTGTAGTCAGATTGAAGATCAAGTGTTAAAAACAGTTCTGAGTTTTGATTTCACCAAAAGTCCAGGGATTTGTTAGGAGAATGCTTAATCAAAATTCCGTGGTAAGTGAAAATGAATATTAACTCGGAACACAAGAAGACTTAAATAAGATGAATAATTCTATGGACCAGTTTTTAGCTCACCTGAGACAAAAGACTCAAGTGAGCTTTTTTTTTTGATCAAAATTTGTCTGTTGTCTGTCGTCGTTGGCGTTGTTGTTGTAAACTTTTCACATTTTCATCTTCTTCTCAAGAACCACTGGGCCAGTTGCAACCAAACTTGCTACAAAGTATCCTTTGGTAAAGGGGATTCAAGTTTGTTCAAATGAAGGGTTACACCCTCTTCCAAGGGGAGATAATTACAGTATGAATTAGTGAAAAATTAATGGCATTTTAAAAAAATCTTCTGCTCAAGATCCATAGGGACAGGAAAGATGAAACTCGTGTGGAATCATCCACAGGTAGTGTAGATTCAAGTTTGTTCATATCATGACCCCAGGGGGTAGGATGGGGCCACAATGGCCGATCAAAATTTTACATGGGAATATATAGGAAAAATCTTTAAAAAAATCTCTTCTCAAGATTCATAGGGACAGGAAAGATGAAACTCATGTTGAATCATCTTCAGGTAGTGTAGATTCAAGTTTGTTCAAATCATGACCCCAGGGGGTAGGATGGGGCCACAATGGCCGATCAAAATTTTACATGGGAAAAATCTTTAAAAATCTTCTTCTCAAGATTCATAGGGACAGGAAAGATGAAACTCATGTTGAATCATCTTCAGGTAGTGTAGATTCAAGTTTGTTCAAATCATGATCCCCAGGGGGTAGGATGGGGCCACAATGGCCGATCAAAATTTTACATGGGAAAAATCTTTAAAAATCTTCTTCTCAAGATTCATAGGGACAGGAAAGATGAAACTCATGTTGAATCATCTTCAGGTAGTGTAGATTCAAATTTGTTCAAATCATGATCCCCAGGGGTAGGGTGGGGTCACAATGGCCGATCAAAGTTTTACATAGTAATAGGGAAATCTTTAAAAATCTTCTTCTCAAGTACTGCAAAGCCATGATTAGTGATATTCATATATAAGCATCCTCATGTAGTGTAGATTCTAGTTTGTACAAATCATAACCCCCAGAGATAGGGTGGGGCCACAATGGGAGTCCAAGTTTTACATTAAAATATACTAAAATATCTTTTTCTAAAGAATAGCAAAGCCATGATAAGTGATATTTATATGGAAGCATCCTCAGGTAGTGTTGAATTAAATTTGTTCAAATCATAACCCACAAGGGTAGGGTAGTGGGGGTGTCAATGGTTGATCAAAGTTTTACATAGGAAAATAAAGGGAAAAATCCCAAGAACAGAAAAGCTATGTTTAATCATATTGACATGTAAGTATCCTCATGTAGATTTAAATTTGTTCAAATCATTACCCTCTGAGGTAGGGAGGGAAACAATGGGGAATCAAATTCAAATTATTAAGAAATAATATTTACAAACAAAATGTTTAAAAAAATCTTTATATCTTTTTCACAAGAACATCAAAATTATATGCTGTATTGATATGGAGGCTTTCTCAGGTAGTATTAAAATTCAAGCCCCCCCCCCCCCCCCCCCCGTAAACTTTTCAACTCAGATCTGATTTGTGCTTTTTCCTAGCAGATCAGTGCTCAGGTGAGCGATGTGGCCCCTTGGCCTCTTGTTTTTTTTATTTTGTTGAAGTGTTGCCACGGTTACTAAGAATAAATTTTCTGTGATTTTTAGATCTGCTGGTAAGAGACCAAAAGAGCTTGTAATGCAATAGAAAGGTACCCATCGTTTGTCTGTCTGTAAACATTTTTTATTTAAAATGCTACTCCTACTCTTTTGGTCTGATTTTAATATAACGGTATACAAGTAGACTACACTAAGATATATTATTCTATGTATCGGTTTTTGATGAACAGTTAAACAATTGGTAACTAAAAGTAGAAATTTCTCTTTGAAATACTTTCAAAACACTGAGGTACTCCTCCTAAAGTTTTAATCTGCTTTAGGTATAATTTGACAAACAAGTAGACTAAACTCATTTGATTTTGATGAACAGTTTGTTTAGATTTTCAGTGTAACAAGTGGCACAGAAGTAGACTACATTAGGTGTATAATTCCGTTTATCAATTTTTATTTCGTTAAATGGTGTTGCCAAGTTTACTAAAAACAAGAATTTTCTGTAATATTCTTTTAAAAGGCACTCCTCCTTCAGTTTTAGTCTGACTGCAATCCCGCACCTCAGATCTCCACATTTTTTCCTTATTCAAAATAAGGAAAAAATGCGGACGGGAGTATTTGGACTAATTTTCCGCATTCATTCCAGATTTTCGTAGATTCAAATTTCCAGATTTTCTCCGTATTCAAAATATGGAGAAAATGTGGATGGGAGTATTTGGACTCTTTTTCCGTATTCTCTCCAGATTTCCGCATTTCCATATATACAAAATATGGAGGTATTTACTTGGTTGATAAAATGCGGAAATACGGAAATCTGGAGAAAATACGGAGTTAATCACATAGTTATAAAATGGCTAATAAAACCGCTACATGATGCATACATACATAAATATTTACAAAACCATCAACAATGTGCAAAATTATATACAATTTATTATATCATTATGAGAAAAAAACATATAAATGAATGAACAAAATTACACATTATGTTCATGAGCAATGTATTGGATCTTATATCTTTGACAAACAAATAGGAGCATGTATGGAAAAAAAACTGGAACTCTTATTTGAGCCACAAGTTCATCATGGAAAAAATGTGGCATTTTTTAATATTCATATTAAATAAATGGAAATTTATTCATTATATTTAAGCAAAAGTGGGAGTGAAATGTTCAACACTATTAGGTATTGGGGAAAAAATAACAATTGACATAGCATTGAATATTTACAAAACAAGAAAAAATTTTAGACATTTTTTTATCAATCTGGATCACATTTGCCATTTTCTACCTGCATCCCTGATTCATATTTCTCACAATTCAATTTATATCTCAGGTCTGTGCTTTACACCCATCTGTCCAATAAAAATTTTCTTCAGACGTCTTTGTAATTTGTAAGGTCTCTGCATGTTTAATTTCTTGCAGCAGCACTTGCGGTCGAATTGGCAAATCCTATCAATTAAAAAAAAAAAGTACTTAAATTATAATGGTGCAATATTAATAAAATTTAAATTCATTGCTTTTATTCCTTTTAAAATCTTTTTATAAACACAAGTTTGGGTTCTTCAATTTTATATCAATTTGTTTAAAATATTATTTATAATAATGACAATCATAGTTGACTGTTTTTAATTAAACAAGCAATAAAAAAAGAAAAAAAAGAATATATATACCTCAAACATAACCATCCATGGACCAAGCTTTAAGCCCGTTAATATCGCAGTAAGTTGAATAAGCACTTATTCTTTTTCAGAAATCTCCTCCTCATGCACAGACGCTACCAAAAAAAACAAAATGTATGGTAAATCATTGCGAGAGATTACAGCCCATGGCTCCCCAAAATTAACACCTTTAATTGTGGTTAACCATAATAAAATTCTATGAGCTGATTGAAAGATTTGAATCATGGGCATATTGGCTGAAACGTACGTAGCCTGGTAGCTCAGTCCTAGGCCTCGAGTATTTATTTTCATCATCAGTGACACATATGTTAAAAAAAAATATGACTGACCTACCGCATATGAAATACGTGTATCTGCATCTTTTGGTTGATACAGCAATACGATCTCAGGCTGTCTGGTCAACAAACTTCTTCCTTTAGGCAGAGCAGACGTTGCAACATGGAGGCCAAGGTTAAATTTTGGCGGTCTGTTGTTTAAATTAATTGATCACTGAGCCCGACTTTTTGAAACATTCTTCCGATCCCGATCAAATTGTACATAACATTCAGGAGAAACAAAGAACTGCTGTTAACTCCAAGACAGTTTTTATGCACCCAAATTTTTTCGGGGCGCATATTGTTTTTGTCCTCTCTGTCTGTTTAGCTGTATGTCTGTCTGTTTGTTTGTCTGTTGTCAACTTTAACCTTCGCCATAACTTTTGAACCATGAGACTTAGAGACTTCATATTTGGTATGGATACTCCACTACAAAAAAACTTTCAACTGACACCAAGGTCAATGACCTTATGACCTTGATTGTGACCTTTATGCTAAAAATAGCTTCTTCGAACTTTCGCCATAACTTCTGAACCGTGAGAGATAGAGACTTCATATTTGGTATGCATACTCCACTAATTAGGCACTTTCAACTGACACCAAGGTCAATGACCTTGTGACCATGACTGTGACCTTTATGCTAAAAATAGCTTTTTCGCCATAACTTCTGAACGGTGAGAGATAGAGACTTCATATTTGGTATGCATACTCCACTAATTAGGCACCTTCAACTGACACCACTGTCAATGACCTTGTGACCTTGACTGTGACCTTTGTGCTAAATATAGCTTTTTTCGAATTTTCACCATAACTTTTGAACCATAGATGATAGAGAATTAATATTTGGTATGCATACTATACTAATAAAGTGCTTTCAAATGACACCAAGAACAATGATTGTGTGACCTTGACTGAGACCCATTTGCTAAAAATTGCTTTTTAGAACTTAATGTTGCCGCCAGGTGCTACTGTGTCTCACAAACACATCTTGTTCTTGACGAAAAAATTCTAAGTCCAGAGCTCCGTATTTTTTCCAGATGAAAAATATTCTAAGTTAAGAGTTCAATATTTTTCCAGATGAAAAATAGACTAAGTCCAATTCTCCGTATTATTTCCGTTTATTTTCCGGATTATTTCTGTATATTTTCTGCTTTTCCGTATTGTTAATTTTCTCCGTATTTTTTTCCACATTTTTTCCATATTAAAATGAGGAAAAAATGCGGAATAATGCGGAAATCTGGAGATCTGAGGTGCGGGATCTTTCCGCAGAAAAGAGTAAATCAAGATCATTATTCTATTTATCTTCCTTGCTGGTTCTTCGGCGAATTTTGTAGTGATACGCATTTCTTCCAGTTGGGCGTTTCTTTTTTCCCCCCAGAAATATAAGATCTCCCTGGTCATCTCGGAATTACTTGCAAAGATAAAATTTGCACTCTCCCAATCAATTTATTAGTACTATTGGTTGTCCCTTAGGCCTAAAACATGAATAAACAAGGTGTGTTTGTGACTGATGGCAACATAGCGAAGATTAATTAAACTTTTCTTAAACGCAAATTAAATATGCTGCTCCACCCAAAGTAAGGTCTTCTCACAAGAAATACAATTGTGAAATACGACAGCCCTAGCACTACCTGTTCAAAAGTTATGGCCAAGGATTAATTTTTGACAGGTAGATCAAACTCCAGTGTCAAGGTGGAAGGGTCAAGGTTGTTGGTTTCTAAAGAAAGGTCTTGTCACAAGAATTACATATGTAAAGTATGAAAGCCTTAACACTAACTGTTTAATATTTATGGCAAAGGTTAATTCTTTTTTTTAAAGTAGGTCAAAAGGTCAAATGGTGGTACCCAGAGAAAGGTCTTGTCACAAGGAATACTCATGTGAATATGAAAGGCATAGTTCCACTAAATCAAAAGTTATGGGCAAGATTCGAGTCTTTGAGGACAAACAGATAGACAGCTAGAAAGACGGACGGATACAACAAAAACTGTATACCCCGAATCTTCGATTACGGGGGCATAAAAAATCCACTTCAGAAGCGTTTTGTCATACCGGGATTTATAGGTCTTACCATGAAATCTCTGGTATTTCGTAGCTCATGAAAATATCCGGTATCTAAATAGAGAAGAAGCACATGTTCCGATGTTGAAAATATGGATAGCGTAAGATTATCTTACAAGAAAAATGAAAAAGTTGTGTTGGGTAAATTTGTTCTTTTCGATAACTTTTAAATAAGGCCTTTCAAAGTACTTAGCATTTATCAGAGACATATTTAAATTATTATTATGTAACTACACAGTTCAATATTAAATCTACTAACACGCAGTCTACTCACTAGTCCAAAATATTAGTTAAAGCCCCTAGAAGGCCCTTGGCTGGTGAATAAAAATAGACATATACATGTTGTATGTGCTAAGTGCTCCAAAACGATTGAAGCATAAAGCATATTTGGTAATTTGTTCGCAATTTTTGCAGCACATTTCACCAATGGCAAATTAGATGACACATGTGCGAAGAAGATACATTTTGGATATTTTCAAGGAGTTCAAGATGACAGAAAACTGAAGGATAAGAAGATGCTGGTAAGTGTATCTTATAAAACTGATAAAATATAAATTAGTACATGTGTACATAAATACATGTATATAGATGTTTCCCAAATTCAGACTGATGATAGATTTTATTTTGTCATACATGTATATTAATTATGTAGAAAAAATAATGTTTTTATGACACATATATCTTCAAAGAGCTATAGGACAGTAGCACAGGTACATTGTATATCTCATGTGTCACACATCTGAAAAAAATCAGTTTTCCAAAGTGCAAACTTCTAGGCACATAGTGTAGCCATGTTTCCTATTGCACTTTGTTTTTAAAAAGATCATTTTAAAAAATTGTATTTGGATTAATGATATAAAACCAAGTGGATTGGTGACATGTAAACCGACCACAGAACTTCATGTTCATATACTGTTTTTTAATTAATACAGACTATCATCATGATCACCACATCTTTTTAACCCCCCCCTTTTTTTTTTTACACAAATTGGATTACTTCAGGTTGCAGAGACAAGTGAAATGTCATATGTTGGACAGAATTATGGTCCACTAGCCAGTACAGTTCAGAGAAACTGCAAGTGAGTATCAATTATAAAATTAATATTTACTCTTCATCTTTTTTTAATGAATTGTAAGGCCTAGAAAAAAATATGTTTGTTTCCACTTTCAGGCTGAAAAAATATAGGGTAGGTAGGTAGGCAATTTTTTTTTTTTTGAAAAAATTTTTTTTGCTTCTTTAATCAAAACGTGTATAGAAGTAACATTAATGACAAAAGAAATGGTGTTTTCAAGCATCACTGTGACTTAACTTATAATAGAAAGGTGACCCAAACTTCTTTCTGTCTTGAAAAGCTTGCAAAGTTGGAGGCTATAATTCCCTGGTTGAAATCTTGCACATCATGGGACAAAAGCATTAAAAAAACATTTAGGGTCGGCACTATAAATTAGGGTCGGTCGGGAAAGCGGAAACAAACATATTTTTTTTTCTAGGCCTAATTCTTAAGAAGTGTTGAGTAATAAAATAACAGAAAACATTTGATAATGCATCAGTTTTTAGGTATACATACCGGTAATGTAGTTCTTTTATGAAATACACTTGCATACATGTTAACCTATTGTGATGAAAAAGAGGGAGATTGTAAAAGCGGTAGCATTGCGCGCGTTCTTTTTATCGATATCGTTCATGTAATATGCATGTATATTATAAGCCTTAAATGAAATCAGGTACCTACAGTAATTAATCTTAAATATCAACAGCAAAGAAGAAGACAGAAACACCTTATCTTTGACATAAATTGTACAAATTCAAATATTTTTCATGCTCATCATTTTGCTTGGATTGGCTCCTTGTGAAGAGGGATCTTTGCTGATTTAGCCTAGAAGCAATAATTCAAAATATTCATTCAGTTTTTAAACAAAACAAATGATAAAATGGTTTAATCTATATAATATAAATCAGATTTCCCGCGATGAATTGTGCAACATGGCTTGGTCAATCGTTTTCTAGACTTTATTGTATTATGTTTTTAAAGACGATGTCAAATGTTTTCATCTAATTCTTAAAAGCTGTACAAAACCACAGGGAAGATGAGGATTTGTGACACAGAAATATTTCAAATGCACCCCAAACCTTCAGGTAAATCGGAAACTTGTAAAGTACTTTTCATTTTATTGCATTGATTTAATATATTTTTTGTTTAATACTGTTCTTTTTTGTGTCCAATATAAAATATGAATTTGACGTTTTACAGTAAGGACACAGAAAAAATAAAAATAGGAAAATATTTTAAATCTTGTTTATTCTTAAAAATAAAAATTTTAAATAAATATTGAAAATGAACTGTTGCTTCCTTATTATTTATATTGTTTTTTTTAGATATTGATGATGACGAAGAGAAACTTACGTTACCCTCATCAGTGTCAGAAAAGAGCTTTAAAGAAAAGGTAGATAATCTGAAAATACATCTTGTACAGTACTGGTCCCTTGTTGAGAAGATTGTCATGAAAATTGGCTGTAAGAAAACACACACACACACAAAAGAAAATTTAACTTTATTTATACATGTACAGTTAATTCTCGATAAACCGCCACCTTTTGTGATTTAGATATATATGGCGGTTTTTATGAATTGAATTTCCCATCTTTGAGGAAACGAGAAGTAGAGTTGCCGTTCTTAGAAATACCATAAAGGGTTTCTATTCTTATAATTACATGTACATGTATATAAAACATATTTTTAAATTTTGAAATACTTCAAGTAATTTTTTATGTACGATTTCTTTAAATCAAAATGTGCAGTTATGAAATAAAGACAAGTACATGTGCATCTATGTACATGTAAATCGGCACGTCTGATCTTAAAAAAAAAAACATGCTGGGTCGATTGTGATTTATTGCTGACAGTAAGTAAAATGATTTCTTGAATAAATTTATTGTTTATGGCATCATTGTTAGTGAAACGTTCACAATTTATACCGTATAATTATTTTTAGGCAAACTTTGCATTGTTTAAAGCAGAGATCATCAAAATAATATTGTATTTGGCGTACTTTCACAACTACCCCTTTAGTGGCGAAGCTGTGACTAAATGATTTTTTAAACAAAACAACAGAACAACATCATTGTGACAGTTCATATTAAAATTATTTGTTCATTTAATTCTATTTTAATTATTTAATTGCGTATACCTTGTCTGGCTTTGCATGCTTTACAACAGGGATAGCGTCAACCAATTAGCCGCGCTTCACTGACCGCACGCACCTGTGGCAGTATATCAAGATAATTGACACTTAAAAATGGACGTTTGTTTTGAAAACAGGGTGGCGGATGGCGGTATGCGAATTTGGCGTTATAAAGAGAATTTCGTTATAAAGAGAATTTTATATAGCAGGAAAAGCGTTCTTGGAAAATCATGGTGGTATTACGAAAATGGTGATGAATTGAATGCATGGAGATAATTCAAGAATTGACTGTACATCTATATAGATCTGTTTAATATATATTTTTTTAAATGAACAAGCATCAATAATCAATGTAGTGTACTGAATTTGATAAAAAATTATAGAGCTGAAAATTACTTTGCTGCAGCTAACTCTCTTATGATGAAACATTTGTACATGAATTCATGCTGTTGTAGAATGACATGCTTACAAGTGCCTTTGGAAGCAAAAAGAAGCAGAGGGCATTGGAATCAAGGCTGAAAAACCAAATCAAGGGGAAGGCCCTAGATAAAGCCTTGAGCTCTGTCATTAGTCAGGCCTCAACTGTTACTCCAGTACAGGTGGAAGGTAGGCCATAGATAAAGCCCTGGGCTCTGTCATTAGTCAGGCCTCAACTGTTACTCCAGTAAAGGTGGAAGGTAGGCCCTAGATACAGCCCTGAGCTCTGTCATTAGTCAAGCCTCAACTGTTACTCCAGTACAGGTGGAAGGTAGGCCCTAGATAATGCCCTGAGCTCTGTCATTAGTCAAGCCTCAACTGTTACTCCAGTACAGGTGGAAGGTAGGCCCTAGATAATGCACTGAGCTCTGTCATTAGTCAAGCGTCAACTGTTACTCCAGTGCAGTTGGAAGGTAGGCCCTAGATAATGCCCTGAGATCTGTCATTAGTCAAGCCTCAACTGTTACTCCAGTACAGGTGGAAGGTAGGCCCTAGATAATGCCCTGACCTCTGTCATTAGTAGGGATGTCAAATCGGTCTAGATAAAGCCCTGACCTCTGTCATTAGTATGGATGTCAAATCGGTCAATTTTTGATACTCGGTTACTCGGACGTTTTTCCGATCGAGTACCCGGGTACTCGGTAAAAGTGTAAATAAATATGAACAAGTTAATTGATAACTGTAAAACATTTCAAACTCTTGTAGAAATAAAACCGATGGGAGGTTACCTGCAAATGCGTTGTAACAATTATGACCACTTTGTAACCGACGAAATTTAATCTAACATTTTTTTAAGTTCAATTTATTTATCAGACAAATACGGGAAATAAAATCAGAAATGGTTCACAGTGTTTTTGTTTAAAAAATAATCTGTTCCGTAATTGTAATGTAACTCTTTGGTGCGTTTGATGTCCAAGTGATAAGTTGTCTGAGCTATATGTACGGTATAAACTTGATCAAGTTATCCTATAACAGAGCGGATTTATACGATCTTCGTACACTTTTTGATGCTAGATTTCATAGAATTACGATACGGTATGTTGTAGTTTAGAGCAACGATGGACATAAGATTTTTAAAGCATTTGCATTAATTGGCATGTAATCAAATGCATCCAAATCAACAATCGCACGTGCAATATCGTCTGTCTCTTTCTGTTCGTTATCTCCATATCCTTCTTTCCCGAGAATTTACGGCTTCTTGGAGAATTGACAAAATTATTTAATTTGTTTAAATATAATGGACCTTATACGATGTTCAATGAAAACAAATAATTAAAGCAAACTAAATATAAGGGAAGACGACAGTCGAAGGTGAGAAAAGCCCGGGTAGGTACATCAGGTGTTTGGTCACGATAATTACTGTATAAACACTGCCACAGGCGATAACGGTCATTTAGAGGCATAGGAAACCCTAATTACTGTATGTACAAGTGCAATGAACATTTTACGTTTTAAAACCGATGTTTTAATGCATTAATAAATAAGCTTAGAAATATTTAAAAATATACATCCGAGTAACCGAGTACCGATTTTAGGTAGGATACTCGGACGTTCGAGATAAAGCCATGAGCATCCCTAGTCATTAGTCAAGTGTCAACTGTTACTCCAGTACAGGTGGAAGGTAGGCCCTAGATAAAGCCCTGAGCTCTGTCATTAGTCAGGCCTCAACTGTAACAGCAGTACAGGTGGAAGGTAGGCCCTAGATAAAGCCATGAGCTCTGTCATTAGTCAAGCGTCAACTGTTACTCCAGTACAGGTGGAAGGTAGGCCCTAGATAAAGCCCTGAGCTCTGTCATTAGTCAAGCCTCAACTGTTACTCCAGTACAGGTGGAAGGTAGGCCCTAGATAATGCCCTGAGCTCTGTCATTAGTCAAGCCTCAACTGTTACTCCAGTACAGGTGGAAGGTAGGCCCTAGATAATGCCCTGAGCTCTGTCATTAGTCAAGCCTCAGCTGTTACTCCAGTACAGGTGGAAGGTAGGCCCTAGATAATGCCCTGAGCTCTGTCATTAGTCAAGCGTCAACTGTTACTCCAGTACAGGTGGAAGGTAGGCCCTAGATAATGCCCTGAGCTCTGTCATTAGTCAAGCCTCAGCTGTTACTCCAGTACAGGTGGAAGGTAGGCCCTAGGTAATGCCCTGAGCTCTGTCATTAGTCAAGCCTCAACTGTTACTCCAGTACATTTGGAAGGTAGGCCCTAGAAAAAGCCCTAAGCTCTGTCATTAGTTGAGGCTTACTGTTACTCCAGTACAAATGGAAGGTAGGCCCTAGATAAAGCCCTGAGCTCTGTCATTAGTCAAGCCTCAACTGTTACTCCAGTGCAGTTGGAAGGTAGGCCCTAGATAATGCCCTGAGATCTGTCATTAGTCAAGCCTCAACTGTTACTCCAGTACAGGTGGAAGGTAGGCCCTAGATAAAGCCCTGAGCTCTGTCATTAGTCAAGCGTCAACTGTTACTCCAGTACAGGTGGAAGGTAGGCCCTAGATAATGCCCTGAGCTCTGTCATTAGTCAAGCCTCAACTGTTACTCCAGTACAGGTGGAAGGTAGGCCCTAGATAAAGCCCTGAGCTCTGTCATTAGTCAAGCCTCAACTGTTACTCCAGTACAGGTGGAAGGTAGGCCCTAGATAATGCCCTGAGCTCTGTCATTAATCAGGCCTCAACTGTGTTTCCAGTACAAGTGGAAGGTAGGCCCTAGATAATGCCCTGAGCTCTGTCATTAGTCAAGCCTCAACTGTTACTCCAGTACAGGTGGAAGGTAGGCCCTAGATAATGCCCTGAGCTCTGTCATTAGTCAGGCCTCTACTGTTACTCCAGAACAGGTGGAAGGTAGGCCCTAGATACAGCCCTGAGCTCCGTTATTTGTCAAATATCAACTGTTACACCAGTACAGGTGGAAAGTAGGCCTTAGATAAGGCCCTGAGCTCTGTCATTAGTCAGGCCTCTTCTGTTACTTCAGAACAGGTGGAAGGTATCAGATAGAAGTTAGAACTACATCTACCAGAAATATTTCAAATTAAACATAAGAAATGGTTTAGTAAGGCTAAATGATAGCTTAATTTAGGTGAATTCTGTGATAGCTTAATTGAGGTGTATTCTGTGATTGAAATATTTTGCTGCTCATCATGCATCTGAGAATTAGTACATATGTGTACTCTAAAATTTAGCTGATAATTCTGTAATCAAACTAATCTGAGTAAAGAAAAAATTAAACTGGTCAGAACTTTGTTTATCAACAAAGCAGTCTAAGTTGAAGTATCAAGCTCCATTTCTGATGTGAATTAAATTACATTTCATACAACAAGAATTCTTTTTTAAAGCAATACTTCTCTCTCCACAGACAATGACACAAATCCTGAGAACGCCATCATCCCTCCAATGAACAAGGCGGCAGCCACACCTAGAGAAGTCTATAACATGGATGACAGTAAGTTATAGATGGATGACACTTTTCAGAGGAAAGTGTGTTTAGTTCTTACTTGATTTATTTGCATATTAATACATCTAACAGATTTTATGCAAATATTTACATTTGGATCATTAATTTTTTTAAAAAGTGATGATAGAAATTAATGGCTAAGGCAACAGTAAATCTTGCTGAATGCTGATAGGGTTGAAAATAATCTGGACTTGGACACCTTGTTTCACTTGCAGTTGTGCATCCTAATGATAAACAGGCAACAGAGGAGGCCTCCAGGGTTTTCTTTGATGCCACGATGGATGACATCCAGCAATGGAGAAAAGAAAACAAGTAAGGCTAGATTTGATTGGTCTTTCATGTTCTGTCGAAATATTAAGGCTAGATTTGATAGGTCGCATTCTGCTGAAATATTGACTACAGCCAATCATTTGACAGCATTATTAAAGCAATATGAGCTGTATGTTTGACATCGGAAAAAATGTTGCAAATTTGTAATTAACTATTTCAATAACAGAAAAATAGAACATTTATAAACTTCTGTTGTTCATATTTGCTATGAAAGAACATTTTATACGCTTTGATTGAAGCAAAATTGAATTATTGTCGTCCTGTACAGTAATGATTTCTTATATAATACTGTATATTCGGTTGTACAGAAATATTTCTTCTGAAACATTTTTAAACTTTATTTTGGTTTAATTGATCATAAGGGTTTAGATTATGTACAGATAAATCATAATAACGCATTTTACCAGCAAAATAAAATTCTCAAAAATGCAGCTCATATTGCTTTAAGTGAAAGTATTTGTAAGCAGTTTTGACTGTCTGGTGTTAAAAATAACAATAGTTTTGATTTAATGCATGAAAGGAGATTTGAATACAAATAAACATATTTAAATGGAACATTTCTTGGCATGTTTCAGGTATCCACAACAAATACTCTCCCTGTTGTTCATATTTGCTATGAATGTCAAAGTCTTGAGGAGCGCCTGTACAGAATGCATATAATACTGTATATTCGCAACATACATCACATACTTGTACTACCTAATACACCTACACAACCGCAATCCCAAGCAGCTAAGAGAGAAAGGCGAGTACAGAACAGAGCAAGCAACATAATGTACATCACATATTTGTACATGTACTACTTAATACAAGCAACATACACACACCTTAAACACCACACAACCGCAATCCCAAGCAGCTAAGAGAGAAAGGCGAGTACAGAACAGAGCAAGCAACATAATGTACATCACATA